CTAATCTCTAATCAGTGCTGGAGAAACCTAAACAAACTAGCCTGGACCATTCCTAAGCATTCATAATTCCTGGATCAGACTCAAAGGTAATGCATTTAGGGCTGCTCTAAAAACATTTCAGAAAGGGTGAATGTAAATAAAGTGGCCTATAATTGACCCTTCTGCTGACATTTGAACCCTGGCTGTGCTGATGCACCTGGGGAAAACAATATGAGGATGGAGAGGGGTGCCTGGGGCATCAGGCAGGTCCAGACCTACCTCTGAGTGTGACCTGTGGAGCAGCAGAGCTATGGGTGTGGATCAGAGCCCCAGGAGCTTGTGGGGCACCTGAAACCCTTGCACAGGAGCCAACCAGGCTCCAGAGAACAAGTGCTGATGGAAGTGTGAAATATGCTGATGAGTTTTGGGGGGCTGGAAGTACAAGAGACTGATGTGCAACCACAGGTGTAACTCTGGCAGTGCAGGTAAGGTATGCAGAGAACCTCTGAGCACCTAACCCTGAAGAGGAAGAAGACATGATACTGGGAACTCATTTCTGGGCCATTCGTTTCTTTCCTCGAAAGCTTGCTGTTTACTGTGTGATTGCCTTGGGGAGCAGCTGTGGGCAGGATGGAACAAGAGGGTCTTCCCAGCGCCTCCCTCCTTCCTGCAGGGCTCTGCTGAGCTCGTTCCCACCATCCCAATTCAATGAGCAAAGCTACTTCAGCAAAGTGGCTGAAGGCAGGTTAAGTTTCATGCACCAAATCAGCATGGGGCTGGGGCATTGGGACCTACAGTCCTGGGGAGTGGGGAGGGAGAGACAGCCAATTCCATGGCTGGATGCAACAGCCTGGATTTTAAGGCTTAGTGTTCCTTTTGAGGGGGAATAAAGGTCCCCCCTGCAGGGGCAGAGCTGCTTCTGCTTCTGCTACTGACTCTGGCCTTGTCATGTTCCCCTGGCACCCCCTGGAAGGAATGGGGATGAAGGAGGGAAGACCCCCTGTCATCCCAGTCTGATGAGCTTCACTGTGCGCCAGAGGCAATTCCTACCTCCCAGTACCTTTTACCATGGCTGAGCTTCACTGAATCTCCAGGGAGAAAGCAACATTCTTTTATGGCTCTGTCGTTTGTCAAGGATGAACTAGGAAAAATAAACTCACAAACTGAAAGTGGAGGCACAAATACATCAATCCCAACCTTCCTCCTCACAGCCTCCCTTTGTCATCACCTGCCCCTCACCATGCCAGCTCTGGGACTCAGGAGACTTTCTCCAGCACCCACTATAAAATACTTTGCGTCAGTCTGCTGAAAAGGAGGACTTCAAAAATAATTAAAACACTGTTTTAATCTTCTTGACTTTTTTTTTTTTTCCTTTCCCCCCTCCCCCATGTCCCATTACCCATGAAGAAAAAATGAGGGAAAGAAAAAGGCAGAAGGGCACTTTGTTTTCTCCCCCCACACACTCAGAGCTGTAAAATACTTCTTAATCATTGGTAGCAAGAGAATCTCCATGCTGGGCCTCCACTTTTTGTTTGTGAGTTTATTTTTCCTAATTCATCCTTGACAAAGGACAGAGCCATAAAAGAATCAACCAGCACGTCTGTGGGAAAAAACTGCCCTGAAAAGGGTCGGAGGAATACTGTAGCATTTCCAAACAATTCCAAGGGCTAAAGCCTGTGTGAGATGCAGCTTCAGCTATAACTTGCCTTTCTAGGAACAAGCCTACATCTGTTTGGCAGTGCCATATTTTGTAGGGTAAAATAAACCCTTGAGAACAAACAGGCCAGCTTATCCAGAGGGGTAAATGCTTGGGAACAGAGCTCACTTGTTAATCCTAGAACTGTCAGCAAAGACCCACTGGAGAAATTATAGCTGGCCACGGGCAATCAAGCTGTTTCCCTCTGCCTCCCCGCCTCCCCCATCCCCATAACAGCTGTAAAATCTTCTTTATTGTTCTGCTGGAGTTGGAGAGCAGCACAGAGAGGTCTCCCAGCCCAGGGTTGCAGCAGCAAGGGGCAGGGGGAACATCTGATCCATTGTATCTGCACCGGCATTATTGCTTTAGTGGCAGACAAAGAAAATGACGGTGATAAAAGGAGAACAGCCCGAGCACCTACTAAAGAGGCATATGAACAGGAAATCCTGGCTCGTTCCCACATCTGAGCTAAGTACGGTTTCTTTCCCTACAGGATCATTTTGTTTAATGTCCTTCTGCAATTCAGGCAGCTGAGCCAGCGGAGCCCCTTCCCTCCCCCTCCTCTCTACCTTTCCTTCTCTCACCAGATTTCGAGCCCTCCCTGTGGAAAAATGATTTGTGCACAAGCAGCCTACACAACGGCGCTTAGAAGGAATTTGCCCCTGCCAGGAGTTATTAATGGCACCCCAGTAAATGCCCCCAGCAAAATGGGCCGCTGCAAGCATCAAGTGCGTGTTGAAAAATCGGGTTTAAATCGTCCCTTGGGCAATGACCTATTGGCCACCTAAAAAATACAGGATTGGTTTGCTGTATAATTAAGTTCAGGCCATCTCTTGTGCTTACACATGCAGAAACCCAGATGTCAGCTTGGTGCGAGTCAAAGTTCTGGGCTCTTTTAAAGCACCAGAAGACAGACTGTGAGGGCATAACATTTACCACTGGAAGAAAACCTACTTTGAATACTTGGAATATTTAACTGACTGCAACAGATAATTAGCCAAACCCTCTCACGCCTCCAAATATAGATTCATTAGTCATATGAAAATATCTCATTGGAACCAAATGTAAGTCATTAGTGAAGTCAACAGCAGATCACAAAAAAGGTGCCGAGAGCCTCCTTCCCGTTATCCCCGAGAAGTTGTAGTGTGCAGTGAAAATGATTTGTTCCATTTTCTATTGAACATCTGCTGGGAAATCTGGTTAAAAGGGAGGCTTTTGAAGGGCTGCTGGTATGCACGGCTGTGCATCCCATTTTCCCACTTCAAGATTTGTGGGAGTAACAATTGCAATTCCTGTGCTGGGCTTCTTTACTGCATTTATTTTTCTTCTTGTCTTCTGGAAGAGACTTTCTCAGGTCACCCAGGCTAAAATTTGGGCTCTGTAATATAAAAAGACATTTTGTAACATGAAGTAGAATAAAAATATCTCCATTATTTGCTTGTAATTTCAAGGGAACATGTTGGTTGGCTTGGAATTTCAGAGTCCCCTGCACTCAGAACGAGTGCTGTTGCCACAGGGACCCCAAAACCAACTGGATACTTTCCAAAGTGAAGTGTCGAGCTTAAGCAAGGTGCAAACAAGCAATGGTGTGCTTTAAAAACTAAAGCAAGTGGGTAGCTCCTCTGTGGGAAGTTATCTGCAGCATGAATGACAGACAGAGAAAGGGACCATGCTTGATTAAACTCTTGTAAAACTTGAGTTATTGTTTGGGAAGACCCAGAGACTGGGATGGGACTGCATACTGAGTCCCAGGACGTATCACAGATTTCACAGAGCATGCTGAACACTGCAGCCCATCAACCAACCCTGCAGTCATCAATCTCACAAACAAACATGTTGTTGTATAACTCCAGAGCTGTGAGTAATCCTGTGCCAAAAGTTGTGTTGTGTGAGTTGTCAACAGCAGCATTCTGCATTTTTCTTAATTTGAAAAAAAATAAAGCCAGAACAACAAAAAATTACACCAGCAAATTTTAAATGCTTCAAAGCTGTCATTTTTCCCGTGGCTGAGGGAACTCGAGCTGCCTCAGTGCCTGACTTTAACTATACATCCCACAAAGATATTAACTGAGTTTTTCAGCTTCATTTAACTCAATTGCATTCCCTTGACTTTGCTGTTACTATTTTTTTATTACAGATAAAAAAGTCACCTCTATATAATACCCCTTGTAGGTAAAATTCTCTGTGTAGCCTGTGGCAGTTGAGCAGCAGGAAAAGGAGTGTGATAGGATTTGAAATGCGTATTTCATACTAAAACCCCAAAGCTCAGAGACCTGTCTCTGTGCCTCTGGTTGTACCCCACTTTTGTTCAGCGTCATGAGGCAGTGCCACACGAGAGGTGCAAAGTCTGCTGCAGACAGCTTTAATCAGGGGGCAAGATACCCTGTGGGCAGCCAGGCTGAAGACATGGGGCATCCCTATGGGCATGGAGCCCTGGGTCTCCAAGAGGTCTCTCCCAACTGCAGGGTTCTGTTCCCATGGAGGCATGGTGGCTCCCAGGACCAACTTTTGGTGAGCAAGTGGGTGTTGGGACTGTCCCTGACTCCAGGTGTTTGCCCCAATGCCCATGGTGGCACCTGGACTGAAATGAAGCTGCTTGTACCAGGCCTGGCACTTTTGTGGCAGCAGGGTAAGAGTTGGCCCTTGCTGAACCCCAAAGCTCCCCTCCTTTTTGGGGATGCGGAGATCACCCAGTTTTCCTTCTCCCAGCCCTGGGTGTTGCTGTGAGGCAAGACCCCAGCCCTCTGACGGAGCAGGATCTCCACCCCTCCCTGTTCAAGGTGTCTCTGCGAGGCCAGTCGTGACTCCGTGTTTAGCCCCGCCGTGTCCAGCGGGGCAGACCCCCACCCCGGAGGGAGACCTTGTCTCCCACTGCAGCAGGCCCTCGCCCCGCGTCGCTCAGACTCCCCAGTTCCTCTTTGGGCCATCCCCAAACCTGTGAGCTGCTGGCCCCAGCCCACTCCGGGTCTGATCGCCGCTCCCCGCCGGGAGGGACAGCCCCGACCCCCGCAGGGGAACGGGGGCGGGCGCGGGGGCGGCTCTAGGACCCAGCGGCGGCGCGGCGCGCCCGGCCCCGCTCAGCTCCGCTCAGCCCGGCACCGCGCCGAGCCGAGCCGTGCCGTGCCTCGCCGGGCCGTGCCGTGCCTCGCCGGGCCGTGCCGTGCCGCGCCGGGCCGTGCCGTGCCTCGCCGGGCCGTGCCGTGCCGCGCCGGGCCGTGCCGTGCCGCGCCGCCCGGTTCCGCTTCGCTGCTCTCCGCCCCGCGCCGCCCCGCCGGGGGGCCGAGCGGCGCGTCCACCTGCCGGCCCCGCCGCCGTCAGTCCCGCCATGGCGCTCGGCGGGGTCGGGCGCGGCGCGGCGCGGGCCGCCTGGCCGCGGCTGCTGCTGGCGGCGGCGGCGGCGGCGCTGGCGCTGGCGGGGCCGGCGCTGCCCGAGGTGCTGTTCCGCTGCCCGCCCTGCACGGCGGAGCGCCTGGCCGCCTGCCCCCCGGCCGCCCGCCCGCCCTGCCCCGAGCTGGTGCGGGAGCCGGGCTGCGGCTGCTGCCCGGTGTGCGCCCGCCTGGAGGCCGAGGCGTGCGGTGTCTACACGCCGCGCTGCGCCGCCGGCTTGCGCTGCTACCCCGACCCCGGCGCCGAGCTGCCCCTGCAAGCCCTGGTGCAGGGGCAGGGCACCTGCGCCCGCCGCCGCGACACGGCCGAGTACGGCGCCAGCGCCGAGCGCCCCGCAGGTGAGCAGCGCCCGGCCCCGGCCTCCGCGGGTCCGGCACGGCGCGCCCAGAGCCGCGCACCGGGGACGGGCACCGGGCGCTCCGCGCGGCGCGCCGGGGACCGGGCGCTGGGGACCGGGCACCGGGCGCTGGGGACCGCCGTCCGGGCTTCGGGCGCTGGGGACTGCAGCGTGCATCGCTCGCCGGGTACCGGGCACTGGGGACAGGTGGGCGCTGGACACCGCGCACTCGGGAACGTGTGCCGGAGCAGCGCCGGGGCAGCACCGGGATGCCGGAGCGTCCAGGGGACAAAGGAATCCTAAAGGGTGACCTCGAGGGGCTCCTCCCGGGGCACAGCGACCCCGCAGAGGGCAGACATGCGGGATCCCTGCGGGAGAGGAGCGAGAGTAAGTCCAGGGAAGCACAAAGAGGGAAGGAATGAAAGGGGCGCTGGAGGGGGACAAAGCATGAGCGCATCCCTGAGGTGGGCAAAATGGGGTATTTGGGGGTGCAGTTACTTCGGGGGTCAGAGAGGTTTCCTTGGTATGGCGGCAAGAACCCCAGGGGTGGAATGTAACGAGGTGGGGGGGAATGCAGGGACTGCTCCAGGGGACAGGCTGGAGGTTGGAGTCTTTTAGGAGAAAAAACCCCACCATGTTCAGAACAGATAAGCGTGAACTTCGGGAAGATGCAGCTGAGGTATGGGGAGGGTCCTTTGGGGAGCAGAGAGAAGTGAACGTTCAGATTTCTGTTTGGTGGAGGAGTAAAACCACCCTGAAGGGTGATGGATGCCCCAAAGATAAGGAGAGAGGTGGTGTGGGAGGACCATGTGCTGCCTGGTGGGAAGGAGGAATCTGAGGGACTGCGGGAGCCCTGCTATGTGAGGAACCTGTTCCCTATGGCCACCCTTCCAGCAGAGTCCACCTTGGAGATGAGGTGACCTCTGCCAGCTCCCGTGGGAGTCCTGGCCCCCTCAGGCCCCCCCTGCTCCGGGAGCTGGGTGCAGGGACAAGAGGAGAGCCTCGCGGGGGCACAGCCCCGGGGACAGGGACACCAACAGGCTCCTGACCTGTTGCTGTGATTGCCGTGGGAGGGAGCGCTCCTCGGGCTGCCGGTACAGCAGTGCTGGGTTTTATTAATGCCTCCTCTCCCGTGCGATCAACTGCAAGCTCTTTCCTTTTCCGTGGAAGATTGAGAATTGACAAATCAGCTCTGGAAATAGACACCATCCCTTTCTCCTTTGTAATCACCTCTCCTTGACTTCTTCTGCCTTGCTGGTTTTGCTCCCCTGGCTGTGACTTGGGCTCTTGACCCTGTTTGCATAACTAGTTCAGCAGCACAATCTGAATTCCCTCCCTCCCCTCTTAAGGCTTGATTTAAAAGCACTCTGAACCGGGCTGTACCTGTTGGCTTCCCTCTGTGTGAGGATGGGAATGCAGCCAGGTACCTGTGCACGCTGCTCGGGGTACCTGTGCACACTGCTCCGCTCCAGGAGGAGAGATGGAGAGAGCAGAGTAAAGAAAAAAGAGCAGCACAGAGAACTTTGCACGTTTCAAGCTTCTGCTTCACACAGCCAGGCTCCCACTGTTGTCCCCTCTCCTGTCCCCTCTCCTGTCCTTGCTCCCTTGCCCAGCTGTGAAGGGCTGTGGAGAGCCAGGACTCTGGAGAACAATGTTGATGCAAAATCTTCCTTGACTACAGAATATGAGCGTCAAGGGAATGAATTTTAGACTCTCCAGAAGAAGCCAAGGGCATTTAGATTAAGGAATTTGGCACTGACTTCCAGGCTTATGCTGTTACAAAAAACTGGGGTGAGTGGAGGGCATTGCAATGATGGGCTGAGAGGTGATTTTCTGAGTTAGTGCTTTTTTTTTTCTTTTACAGACTTTAATTCAGAATTATGTTAACTTCACTCAGCATTTTGCTTGATTGGATTATCTTTATTCTTTTACAATGGGTGTGATTTATTTGATTGTATCTCTGTGGATAATACATACACACATAAATAGCACACTTTAAGAACCCTATAATGTATGTGGTGTTCTGTAATATCCATAGGGGGTGAATAATAAAAATACTGGCACATCCTTAACCAGCGTGATGTGAAACATGCAGCTGGAATATTCACAGTTGAGCATGTCTTGGCAGAGGTGCTTGGACATCCAGAAAAGGGTTTGCACTCTTCAGATTACAAAACTTTTAACAGGTTATTGTAGCCATTAGGAAAAAATCCCCAACCAAACCCACAACAAAAACAAAATCTGAATGCCAGCTTCACTTGATACTCTTCTCTTTAGACTGTCATCTTTGATCCCATCTGCACTTGCTTGCTAAACGTGTATGAGGGAGCTGAGTTTGCTTTTTGTTTTAAGCAGTGACAGGGAAAGATCTCTGACACCCAAAAGAGCAAGGACTGGAATTTGCTTTCAAATGCTGATGTTAAGCCAGTTTCAAGAGTGCCCCAAGAGCAAGTTTTTGCCTGCAAAAAGCAGGTGTTGAGGGTTTTTTGGTGTGGTTGGTTTTGTGGTGCCTTTTTTTTTTCCCTTTTTAAATGTGCTTAAAGGTATTTATCCTTTTTTCCCTTTCCAGCTTGAAAAGGCTCCTTTGGCTGATTCAGGACTGGAATGCAGAGCTCGTGCTATTCCTAAATTAAGAGGTTGGCAAGTTTTTTTGTCCCTGATGAGAGGCAGAAGGATTGCTGAAATAAAACAAGGAATAAAACTCTGCAAATTCTCCTGCTATGGCTCCAGCATTGTTTAGTCTTCCACTAAGGTCTGTAAAGCCAATCCTGAAATGGTTGTAGGCGGAAAGTAACATAAACCACCATGTAGCTAAGAAGCAAGTGATGTTGCTTATTGCACAACAGGCTTTGGGTATTTTGGAGATGTTGGGAATGTTGGAACAAAATAGCAGCAGTCTGTGGAAATCAGTCTGAGAACTTCTACCCTCCCTGGGGAGGCGAGTGCATCAACCACCATCAGTGGTGGGAATGAGGTGGAGACTCAGCATCTACAGAGATCAGGGCCTTCTAGGTAGTTTTGGTGCCTCTAGACCACGTTCCACTGCAGTTTATTTCAGGTCATGGTGTAACAAACTCCTGCACTTCTGACTGGAACTGCCTGACCTGGGGACAGGGCTGTTACTGTGTGTGCAGAGCTCACAGAGCTCCTGCTGCTCTTGAGTGTGTTTATCCTCCCAGCACCTCAGCAAGATTATCATGGTGTTTTGCAGATGGAGTAAATGATGTGTACAAGGTCCTCCAGGACACAGGGAGCAGAGTGAGGACAATCTTTTAACTGTGTTAGTCTGTGTCCTGGCAGAAAATGTCTCAGTTCCTGCAGCCACCTTCTATTCAAAACAGGCCTAAGGTGGCCGTATGGGTCTTGTAGATACAGTGTGATTTGAGAGGCATTATAGGAAGCACTGGGGTCTTTCAACTCCTCCAATCTCAGCTGGAGGGCGGGGATCCTGCCTTCTGTTTTAGCCATGATGAACTGGAATCAGGGGCCTGTGTGGTGGTGTCCAGCTCTCAGCTCCCATGTCCTCTGCCCTTCCTTCTGCTGGTTCAGCTCTCACCCTGTGTCAGAGCAGGCTGGTTCAGGAGTCCTGCTGCAAGCTACCCTAGAAAACAAGTGTGAGATCAATGACCTGAACTGGCTCAAGGTGCAGCAGGGTGCCCAGCAGGATATCAAGTGCTGCTTCTAGGTAGGAACTTATGCTAAGAGGTGCAGCGGGGCAGATCTCAATGATGTCAGCAAATGCCCTAGATTGTCTTGCCCAAGCTATGAAAACAGCTGAAGAACATATTTTCTCCTAATGGAGACAAGATCCTAGGAATAAAACTTGTTACACTCTGAAAAAAAATGGTTCTTGAACTGATGTTCAAAGCTGATCAGTTAAGACAATTTTTTTTTCCCTTTCCCAATTCAGTTCAATTGTGTTTGTAGTATTACTTTGTTGTTGGTATACTTGTACTAATTTACTAGATATGTCTCAGAACTCACTGCTAGCTAACGAGTCCTACTTTGGAATCTCACTTATTTATTAAGACAAATGTGTTTTTTCAGTCCATGCCAGTGCAAAGTAACCTTTCCAAAGGGAAAGAGAGGTGTGGAAAGAATGTGGCTCCATGCAAACTTGAACTTGAAGGGCTGGAGTTGCCTTACTCACCTGACCAGAGTCCACACTTTGAACTCCCATGACACGAAAACAGCGTCAAAATAGTTAACTGTTAAAAACACAGCTTGTTTTAGCATCCAGCTAAAATCCTTATTTGGGTAGCTCCAAATGCCACACATCCTTCCTTACAGGTCAGATGTCAAAACCTTAATTTCCCCTTGGCAGGCAGATGCTAAAAGACAGTTTAATGTATTGCTTGAAAACACAGAAGACTCTGAGGTTGGAGGTAGCATAATGTAACTGGAATTTTAACAGCAACTTGAAAACCATGCCAGTAATGCTATGAATGCATTTTTCATTTCTACTGAATTGCCAGGAAGACTTCTGCTTTTCTCCTGCTTTTATAAGGAAATGAAGCATCCGTCATGATCTGCATGTGCATTTGTGTATCTGTCCTTCCACCCTGGCAAACTCTGACCTTGTCAGTCAAGTTGGTGGGTCCAATATAGCAGTGGATGTCCTGAAAGTACTGCATTGCTGAAACATGGGTGAGGAGTAGAAGAGAGCCTGTGAGTGCCCCCCTCATCCTGTGCTGGAAGCACATGAGCAAGAGGGAGGTGAGTTATGAGTGCAGCAATCATTTCCTTTCCATCTCCTTTCAGCTGGGTTTGTGCAGGCTTGGGCATTACCACACGCCAGGGAAGCTGACTACCAGAACCAAATGCACAGCAGTGTGCTGATATGTCCATAGCCACTACAGCAGCTCTGCCCAGGATAAGCCGAATGTCTGCACAGCTCCTTGCCTTGGAAGAGATTACTGAAAGTCAAATGCAATTAGTAACAGCTGGAGGGATGATAGGTGAATGAGAAAACTACACAGTTCATCTGCCCTCATTGCCTCT